TTTTGAATGGAACATTCTGAGACAATAAATACTTTTCCTGTCCCCCTGACAGATAAAGAAGTGGCAAAAGTTTATTTCTGAGTGAATAGTTTTCTGATCACTTCAAGTTATGACGGCAGGTAGTGCAATCTGTATGCTCAGTATTTTACGTATTTGTATGCATCTCAAGGTGAACCATATGTGATCAGATTCTGAAAAATTAACAATGTGTACAATGTACACCGCCCATTTAGTGAAAGTTAGTGAACATTTCTGTAGAAAATCAAATGGTTGTTCTACTCAGGCTGGAGCCGCACGAGGACGGTAACGCAAACGGACCGAAATCGATATCAAAAAAGTCTTCCGTCCACACGCAACAGAAACGTGTCCGTTCACACGAGAGCGCTCGAAAGAGCTGGAGACGCTGTAGTACATATGCCGGGCCTGTAAGTGGCGCTGTACTTCTGCCACAAAAGTAGCGAAGAAGACTTCCCGCGCATGGTTGGCCTTCTGTTTATTCTCCGTGGTAGGTGGACGCTCTGGCTCTTTTTCTCCCTCCCAGAGGCAAACGTGTGCTCCTGCTGTAAATCTCTCCGGTAGTCCACCAGCAGATGGCATGTATGTACTGTAACAGAGTATTCCTACTCTCTGGTACTTCTACTTTTACTCAAGTACAAGATCTGGGTACTTCTACTTTTACTCAAGTACAAGATCTGTGTACTTCTACTTTTACTCAAGTACAAGATCTGAGTACTTCTACTTTTACTCAAGTACAAGATCTGAGTACTTCTACTTTTACTAAGTACAAGATCTGTGTACTTCTCCCAGCTCTGTTTACTGAAAGTACTTGTCCTATATATATATATATATATATACACATTCTGCTGTTGGAGGAGTGACTTCAGTTTTTCATTGACATATGTACACTGTAGCTAATGTGCTGATGACAATAAAGGCTTGATGTGTGACGCTGACCTCAGACTGTCCTCTATGTTTGACCCCAGGCTCGTGTCCGGACCTCATGATGAGTAGGAGCGATCACTTTGATGTGCGGCCCCCCGCGGCCCNCCCCTCTGCATGTCCGTCTCCTCCGACAGCAGCGGGCGCTTCAAAGCTCTGGAGACGCAGGAGTGGAAGAACAACCTCAAAGCACAGGTACACACACACACACACACACACACACACACACACACACACACACACACACACACACACACACACACACACACACACCCCTGCCTCTGTGAATGTAAAGAAATGTACGTCAGTCCTACAGATGTGTGTGTGTGTGTGTGTGTTTCAGATGGAGCAGGCCCACAGTGCAGGAGCAGCCAGCAGCACCGGGTCTCTGGAGCGAGCGTCCCTCTTCTGCTCGTCCAGCTCCGGCCTGTCCTCTCCCGTGGAAATCTTCAACAAAAACAAATCGTCCTCGTCTTCGAGCCGCTTCTCGCTCTTCTCTCCGCCGTGGAACAGCAGCTCCGAGTCCGAATCCAACCCTCCGTCTCGCTCGGGATCCAAAAAAAAGCTTCGTAACTACAGCCGTCGAGCCGCCACTGGACCCGCGGGAGCCCGGGGCCCCGAAACACCGGAAACAAAACCCAAACCAGTGGAACAACAACAACACTTCCAATACTCCGAACCCGTGATCTCCAGAGTGACGGATTTCATCTACGTTGGAAATCTGAACGCGGCGTATAACGGGCGTTCGCTTTGCCGCAATAACATCGACAGCATCATCGATATGAGCAGCGTTTCGGGGGATCCGGGTCCCAGTTTGAACGTGATCCCGTGCACCTGTTCTCGTGGTGCCAGACACACGTGGTCTCGACTCAAAGTGGATATCGGAGACGTGCCGGAGCAGCGGTGTTTCGAGGATATAAACGAGTGTATCGGCGCCTCCACGGAGAAGAGGAAGCGCGTCCTGGTGCACTGCAGAGACGGGTTCTCGCTGGCGCCCACGTGCATCATCCAGTACCTGATGGTGAAGCAGAACATGAGGCTGATCGCCGCCTACGAGCTGCTGAGGGCCCGGTACCCCGTCAACATCCGGGAGCGCCACCAGAACCTGCTGGTGAGCCTGGAGAGGGCTCTGAGGCCCGGAGGGAACGTGGACCCCGAGTGCTTCAAACAGGCCATTTCCCGCAAAGTGGCGTGGACCTGACGCCCGTTTCCCATCATGCTTTGCCTGCTGCTCCGGACTCTCTTTACTCCTTTTGGCATCCCGGAGCTTCAAAACGTTTCTGGTCTTAATATCCTCCCAGGGTGTAGAGTGGTGCAGGAATGAGTCAGCATTCTAGCAGTTCCCTCGTACCGAAGTCAATGGGGTTTAATATGTGTCGTTAGCCTGAAATAAGATCTTCGGTTAACACGAGCTGAAGAGATTTTAAAGTGGCGTGACCCTGACTACGTTTCCCATCATGCTTTGGCTGCTGCTCCGTACTTTCTCTGATCTGTTTAGCCTCCCAGGGTGTAGAGTGGTGCAGGAATGAGAAACCCTGCAAAGAGTCCGCATTCCAGCAGTTATCTAGTCCTGAAGTCAATGGGGTTTAATATGTGTTAATAAGGTCTGTGGATAACACGAATACCCCACTGGTGAACTTTAAACACTGATAACAAGTCTCTAAGTGAGACGACTAACCTCCCATTGGACCGGGGAGACGTTGCCTTCAGGGTCCAACACAGAAATACGACATCCCTGCACCACTCTATTGGATA